CAGATCAATATGTCTAAGGGAAAATATGTTTCAAGTTCCAAATAATGAAGTTCAAACCACTGGCAATTATCAATGGGAGTCTAGCACAAGTTTATGTAAATAATAAGCTCAAATCTGCTCCCAGGAGAGCCAAATACCCCATCTGTTCTGAATCTATTCTAGTTACATGAGCTAAACAGTATAACCATGTGCCTCAAACGCTCACCTGGATTTCCAAGAGAGTTAAATTATTTTGCTCTGCAGTGAATGAAACTGGTAAAAAAAAAAAAAAAAAAAAACGGGGGGCCTCTCCTTCACCAGAATAAAGCAACTTATGCCAGCCTGACCTAAAACCACTCAACTTAAGACTTCTTTAATTGTACATAATACCACCACAGTAAGGATCCACACTGGTTTATGACTACCCAAGTTCGGCAATCCATATGAACACTGGGCTAGAGACAAGCGATAAACCGTTATAATCAATGAGGGTGAGAAAACAGAGATAAGCTAATGTGTGAGACTACAAAACAAAGGGTACATAAACTGTGGTCAATCTGTACACTTCTGAATCATGCAATCATCTCAGCACAGGCACTGTATCTCTTCATCCACTACAGAAAGGAGGGCAGGGAGGGGGAAGACATGAAGGAAGATTTCCAGTGCCAGCACACACTGTTCAATTCAGGACAGAGACAGGCTCCCTTTATGGTTCAGAATGAAGTCACAGCGCCGACGTGTGTGCCTCCTGTAGGGAAGGCGCCTGTAACATGCTTGTCAATTTTCTGCAAGATCCAGAAGTTTCAGTGTGTTAAAACTACACAGCAGCATATCTTCCCTCTGTACAGACCCTCTTTTGTTTCTCTCTCGCACAAGTTAACGGAAGGACAGAACCTGCTAAGGAACTATGTAACACACGCAGAAAGGTCTTGCCTAAGGGTGGTCATTGATCCACTACCTGACAAACGCCACAGCCTGTTCTCAACTCACACTCTTTCCAAGCTTGATTCCTACACACTCCCTGCTGAACTCTCTAACTCTCTCTGTTTCTCCTTTTCCCACAGTTCCATGTTCGCCTTCCTCATCAGCCAGCTACTTTTTCTTCACTGACTCCTCACGATGGCATGCAGCCCCATGAATTGCCACAAAGGTCTTCCAAATTTCTCCTAACTGACAGAACATACTCCTCCATTCTCCTGTCCCCCTCCCCCACAAACAAAACTCTCACAATGAACTTAGCACTCGTATAACCTGGCCTCTTTCCTATTTTCTTGGAAGTATATTAAGGTACCTTGGAGGCATGGTGCTCCACAAACAACAAATGTCAAAACAGGTGAAAACCCCCAGTTCTGAGGTCATTCCAAAACTTCAGTCCCATATTTCCAGCATCTTTTCTGTCTTGGTTTTGCTTTCTGCTACCTCTACCACAGTTATCATAGTCACTCAGGTTTTAAATCTCTCATTTTCTATTTCCCTGACTGGAGATATGTCCACTCTTTGCACAGTTTCTCCTACCTAGAACCTTTTTCTTCTCTATTCCCATTCCCAGGAAACCTCAATTAATCCAGGCTTTTATGATCACTAGTATGCATTAGTAAAATAACTGACCATAGCTGGCTGCACGTCCTCCAATCCACCCTGCACCACCACCTATTACTGTTACTACAAGCACGGCTCTTCCGTGGTCACTATGCAAAACCCTTCGCTGCCCCATAATGCTGACAGAAATAAGCACAAAACTTTAAAGTGGTTACCATTCAAGGTCCTCTATAATCTGCCATGAACCTATTTTTCCAGCCTTATTTTGCAATATTAAAGACTTGTTTCTTAGACTCTACTCACAACTAAACACCCTCTTCCCCTATAAAGGTATTCCAGGCAATGGAACACCCAAATGCAATGGAGCGTCTGGATCTAAGGAAGAGGTCTGCAAACTAAGGCCCTGGGCCTGTTTCTGTAAATTAAGTTCCCATGGAACACAACCACACCCATTACTTTAGTATTGTCTGTGGCTGCTTGTACACTAGAATGGCAGAGTTGAGTAGCTGGGAAAAAGACCACAGCACCTAAATTTTTATGATCTTCCCCTTACAGAAAAAGTCTGCAGACCCCTGGATTTAGAGATTTAACAGGATTACTCCTCTTGCTGTTTTGAAAACCAACAGTGGAACACGGCAAGGGTGGAAGGAGGGAGACTCATTAGGGGGCTCCTGCAATCGTCTCTAGGCCCAGGTTACAGCGGGTCACACAGGGTGGAAGCACTGGGGATGGTGAGACGTGCATGGATAACACAAGTGGAGCCAATAGAATCAGAGCATGGATTGGATGCAGGTTGTGAGAGAGAGAAACTAAGCAAGACATCTAGTTTCTAGCCTAAGCAACTAGAAGGATACAGTTGCTACTTCTAACTTCTTTAAGATGGGGACTACTATGTGTAGACCAGATTTTTGAAAGATCAGATCCACAACTGAAAACCATAATTCACACCAGTTGTTCTTCTGCACAAAAGCATCCAATGACTCACTATTCTTTCAAAGTACAAACCAAAATCCTTACAATGATCTATAAGGGTCCACACAATCAGGTCCTCCTCTGACGTCATCAGATTCCCTGTTATAGGCTGTTTATACACCTTCCAAAACTCATATGCTGAATCTAATCCCCAATGTGATGGTGTTTGCAGAGGGGTCTTTGGGAGGTGATCAGGTCATGAGGGGCAGAGTCTTCATGAATGAAATTGGTGCCCTTCTAAAAGAGATCCAGAGAGCTCTCTTCTCCCTTCTGCCATGGGAGGACATAGCAAGAAGACAACAATGAACCAAGAATCAAGCCATCACCAGACACCAAATCTGCCACTGCCTTGATCTTGGACTTCCCAGCCACCAGAACTGTGAGAAATACATTTCTGGTGCTTATAAGCCCCTCAGTTTATGGTACTTTGTTTAGCAGCCTGGAGCAGACTAAGACATCAACATTCACGCCACCCCAAGCCACAATGGCCTCCTTGCTCTTCCCAAGCACTCTAAGCAGAGTACCTACGTCAGGCCTCCACACCTGATCCTTCCACAGGCTGGGAGGCTTTTCTCTCAATGTATCTATAGAGCTTATTCTCTCACCCCCTCGGCTCAAATATAACCTTCTCTGTGACGCCTTCCCAGGACTCCCTATTTAAACTCCACCAGCCATTGGCCCCTTCCTCACCCATTTGCCCCCACCCTCACTTCTCTGCTTAATTTATCTCCAATGTTTTTATTACCTTTTCACGTGACCTGTTTAATTTGTCTCCTCCCCCGACCTCCTAGAATGGAAGCTCCAAAAGATCAAGGATATTTCTCTTTTTTCCCCACGGTTGTAACGGTACTGCCTAAAACACAGCAGATGATCAATAAATATTTGTTGAAAGGATGAACTAGCCTAAAGAATAAATATAACCTATTAAAGATTGAAGAGAATTTCACTTATGTTCCTGGGGTTTTGAGGGAAAAAAATAAAAGCACATTATAAATGCTAAAACAATGCAGCTCAACTCAGACAACGATTTTACTATAAGTTCTCCTTCTACTCCAGAGTGCCAGCATAAGACTCCCTTTTCTCTCTTCCCTGATCTCAACACTTAAAAAGAAAAAAGCTTCTTCTGACGGCCTATATGGCCTACATTCCTTTGCTTTCTGGTCTCATTTCCTCAGCTCCTCTCCCCTCTGCACTATGCTCATACCAACCAGACCTTGTTCTGCTCCTCAGACATCTTGCTCCTTCTCACCTCAGGAACCTTTCCACCTGTTAACCCCTCTATCTAGAAATCTCCTCCCACACCTCTTCCAGCCTGCTCCTTCTCATCATGCGGATCTCCCAACTTCACCCCCTCAAAAATGCCCTGGCTGGAGACAAGACCACCATTCCAACTCCTCTTTTATTTTCTTCCTAACACTTAGAACATTCTAAAGTCTTATTTGTAGACATATATATTACGAGAGCAGATTTTATCTATATTGTTCACCACTATGTCCCTCGTGCCTAGAACACTAGATAGACTATGTGATAATTACATCTAGTAGGCAAGGTGGTGGAGAGTTCCTCTTTACCATTAAAGACTGATATTTGGGCCCAGCCCTGTAGCTTAGCAGTTAAGTGCACAGGCTTCGCTACTGGTCAGCCTGGGGTTCGGATCCTGGGTGCCCACGGACTCACTGCTTCTCTAGCCATGCGGAGGCTGCATCCCACATACTGCAACTAGAATGATGTGCAACTATGATATACAGCTATCTGCTGGGGCTTTGGGGAAAAAAAGGAAGAGGATTGGCAATAGATGTTAGCTCATAACGGGAAAAAGAGGAGGATTGGCGGGGATGTTAGCTCGGGACTGATCTTCCTGGGGGGGCGGGGGGGAGACACTGATATTTATAAGTTAGACTCCCAACATCAAACAACTAGGAGGCCCTGGCTGCAAAGAGTACTTGGGAGTACTTCCACTACTGCACAAGACCGGGCGCCAGACAGCAGTAACTCCTTGTCTTTCACTGTAGACAACACTCCACGCTGCTGTTAAAAATTTCTAGGATCTGCATGCCTTTAATTGATGAATGGCCCTTCCAGCCAACCCACAAGTCGCATAAGATCCTGCCTCCAGGGATGAACTATTTAAGGATGCACCAGAACAATCAGAAACCTTGTCCTCAAAGAAGTAATTACCCTCAGCATTTCGCCCATCCCTCACCAACCTAAAAGTCAGCCCTGGGGAGCCCTGAGGCTGAGTCAGGGAAGGAGGGATCCCTGCAGAACTCGCTCACCCCACCCCTACCACCGCCGCATCCCAGTAAATGAATCTGGGTTCCAAGCCTAAATAAAGCAAAGGAAACCGTTCCCAAAACAACCGCAGGGGAAAACGGGGCAAGAAGGGAAGGAGGGGGAGCTTCGGCAGGGGAGCGGGAGCAGCGCGCGGAGCGCGGCCGCACCCTGCATCCCCGAGCCCCGGGAGGCCGGCCGAGCCACTCCGCGCCCTCGGGCCCGGGCACGCGCCGCACCTGCTGCAGGGAGGCGCAGCCCTGGCACCGGGAGAGGTCCGCCGCCGTCCCGGGCGCTGCCGAGTGGGTCTCGCCCGGCATCATGGTGCCGCCGCCGGGCCCGCTGGGCCCGCACGCCTCAGGGACCGGCGGCCTCGGCCCTGTCCTGCCTCTGCTGACGCCGCCGGGGCCGCCGCCTGCCAGGCCGCTTCCCGCCGAGTCCGGGCGGGTCCATCCGTGCACAGAAGTCCCCGTGGAGCTGCCGAAGGCTCTCGGAGCCAGAGCCGCCTCGGGCACCAGAGAGAAGCACTACCCGGCGCGGCCCCCGAGCGCGACGCAGCCCAGCCAGGCCCCCACCCCGCCCTGTCTCGCCCCGCCCCTCGCCGCGGTGCGGAGCTGTCTGAGGCGTTGCCTGATCAAAATGGGGAGAGGAACCTCTCCGCTGCGGCGGGGGAGCCGCCCACTAGGAAATATAAGGAAGAATGAGGCATCAGAGGTGCACTCCTTCCAGTGTTTAGCGGTTACTCTTTTATTGCCGGCTTTCTGCCTGATAGACTTTCCATAGACACCTAAAACCTTCAACGAAGGGCAGGTGACCCGCGATGACGTCACTACGGGCGCCTCCTGGACTGAAAGGACCCTGTACAGGGACTGGTAAGTGCGGGATTACGACCAGGGGGAACGTGGTCGTCCGAGTCCGTCCGGTCAGCGGACGAGAAGAGTGCTGCCGTTCCCGACGTACCGCGCGGCGAGTGGACACCGAGCGGTTGCTGCGGCCGCGCCTGGTGTATTTCAGCGCCTCGTCGTGGCCTCCGGCGCTGGTGGCCGGGCCTTCCTCCGGGCACGTCTTTCCTCCTGGCGGCTCCCGCCGCTTGCTGTCGTCCCCTTGTCGTTCTACCCCGCGCTCCCGGCTCTCGTCCCCAGACCCATCCCCGCGGCGCCCCAGGAGCCGTGGCTGTGAGCCCCGCCACCCACTGCGTGCAAAGCGCCCCGCCTGGCCGAATCCTCAGCCACCCGCCGCCGCCCACGGTCAACAGCCAGACTCTACCGAGTCCATTATAATACCTCTTGGGAAGGAAAACAAGAAAAATCCTCTCTCTGGCTGCCATTACTGGATAAATTCAGGCCCTGATCCTCCGCTTAAACCGAAGTGTTTCGCCGTATCCACCGCCACCAGAATCATCTTTTTAATAATCACAGCTGGTTGCCATCAGTACCTTACTCAGAAACCTCCTGTGGCTTCCCGACGTCTGGTTAAAAAGTCCAAATTCTTAGCATTCAGTACAAGCATTGTGTGTGTTTAATTTATGTCCAGACATGACCAACTTCCTAAATCCTCAGTATGGAAATTGCAACTGGAAACATCCCTTCCAAGAAAGAACTCTGGATTCCTCTCCAAATATCGCGTCCCTACCCTTGCTTACACGTGTTGTGGCTGACACTTGTTGTGGAGTGGAGGGACCAGGTATCCAGCCCCAACAGCCAGATTTCCTGTCGTGGACACCAAAGGCAGCCCTATACCTGACTCGAGGAAGTGCTCTGACTGATCCATTCACCCGTGAGCAGAAAACAAGAGTACGGTTAAAAGAGAAAGGAGAAGTGAGAAGATGCCCAGCTGGGAGCAGAGGCACCTTGGAAGACAGGCCATGTGACCCATTAGAGAAAGGAGAGAGCAAACCTGTGTGGGTCCTGGTAACTGTCCATTTCTGGCTTGATCCCAGACAAATATGTTTTCACAGTAATTTCCCTTTTATTTAAGGTTTCCCAAAGGCATGTTTTTCACTCAGGAGAGTACCTGAGTGGAGGAGGCTTATCGTTGAGAGTTATCTCTCTCTGCACTATCCACCCACAACTACAGCACACCTACCTGGCCTGAACTTGGGACTCTCACTACTACCTTTGCACCCCTGCCCTTGATTTCCCCTTGCCTGTGATAAAAAAAACAAAATTCAACTGAGTAAATTTTAAAGATCTTATTGGCTTTATTCAATGATTCATGACTCAGGCAGCAGCCTATTTAGCAGGTGGAAAGGAGCTCCGAGATGCTGTACAAAATGAAAGACTCTCGTAGGGAGAAGGGAGCAGGAAGGAGGAAGTTATACTAGCAAAAAGTGGATTGGTGTAGCAAGGTCACTTTCCATTAGAGGAGGGCAGGGGTCAAGCAGGCAGATGACCGCACTAGTGCTGATCATGTGGTTCCTGATTAACCAGTTTAAGATCCATTTCCGGGAAAGCTGAAATTGTAATTAAGTATTAAATCTCGGCTTGATGATGTGGGGCTGAGCATAAGTGACTCCATTCGGGCCTGTTTTCTTGCTTTTAACACTTGGAACACGCTCCTTCCAGCTCTGCACATTGTAACCTACCTACTCCTCCAGGCCCCACATTTTACCTCCACAACCCCAAGTAACGCCTACCTCCGTTTTTGCCCTGTATCCCTCAGTAATTTTTTATAACGTCACATTTTGTCTTGGGTTACAGTGATTTTTATGTCTTAGAGGTGAGTTTTCCTTTTCATCCCTGTGAAGTGTTGTACACAGTAGGTGCTCAATCAATGTCAGAGTGAATCAAATTTGCTGCAACTAATTTAAAGTAAAAAAGAATAAGCACTTTTCTGTTCAGGAATGAACGTGCATTTGTTTCTATTGCCTTTCTCAAAATCAGTTCTTAAAACATTTGAAAAAAGAAACACAAGTCTTGTTTGTGCAATGCAGGGTGAGCGAACTCTCTGTAACGGGCCGCGTAGTAAATATTCTAGGCCTTTTGGGCCATACAGGTCTTTGCTGCATATTTGTCATTGTCATGTTTTTTGTTTTGGTAAGAACACTTTAAAATTGTAAAAATCATTCTTTGCAGCTGCACAAAAACAAGTGTAATTATAGTTAATAATGGAAATTGATGTAGGCCTCTAGTTGAGGAATGCTGAAAATTACATTTTTCTGCTTTCCCACGTATTGGGCCACACCTGTTTTGTCATTGTGACGGAAACAAACAAGCAAATGTCTACACTACAGAAGGTGGTGAAGAATGACTTTAGAACCTCACACCTGGCTTTAAATTCTCGAGCAAATGCCCTGTGTGAGCTGGTATTTCCTTCCAGAGGATTAGCTGTAAAATGAAGAGTAACAAGGACAGAGCTGATCCGTAGGATCTACTATCAGAGAGTAGTTATTGACAATTTATTGATGGCATTATTTGTTTTGGAAAACAAATACATCGTCAACCTACTCATAGAAAAATAGGGGGATTTTTTAGCATTTTTGTTGTCAAACTTCCAAGGAAAACTTTGTGTTTTTTTATCAGTGTCCTGAGACCTGGAGGGATATCTAGATTCTGGCCTCTGATTTGGGGGCTTCCCTGTGCCTGTGGAGTCCAGGCAGTTGTTTAGAGGATCTGGCTGTAAAAGTCTCAATTCTCGCCCCATGCGCTCATCATCACCTTGCAGATAACATCTCCAAACTAAAGCTTTGGAATATAACATAACTAGGAGGTTAATTAAACTGGTGATTTAATTTATTAACATGTGCTTCTGCAGAAATGGCTAATAAATTTGGTCTAGAAGCCAAGGAGGTTTTTATCCTATGAACTCAAGATGGAAAACTATTTGTCCTTTGGAAGTTTCTGTATTTTGCTTTATGAAGAGCTTTCTGTTCATTTGATGCATTTACCCATAAGAAAAATAAACTATATTTTCTTCTTTCTTTTAAAACCCTGAGAGATGTTTAATGGAGTAGTTTGCAACTCTAGCAGTCTACAATTCAGTGGTATTATCTGATTGAGTTATAATTATTTCCAGGCCTGTGATGTAATGCTAACATGTGCCCACAAGATGTCCGTCTTTCCATGTGTGTGTTTTAGACATAAAGAGAATTTCCAACCATATTTATGACACATCAGCCCCTTGATAGGGGAGTGGCGAGGCCGTCTTCTGGGGCATCGTAGGGTAGAAGGCACTTCGTGGGAACCATCTTCCTGTTCGTGGTCCACTCTGCTTGCTCCTGAGCTGCCTCTGCTCCAGTGTTTCTTACCATTCTGGGTTACGGTGTTTTGATTTGTCCCCAGGGATCAGCAGGAGGCCCTGTGCCTTTGCTGACAGCCCCAGCTCTCACCCTTCAAGTGATGCAAAGTCGGGGGTAAACGTTGCTTCTTCATGGAAGATTGAGTTTACTCAGAAATCGGAAGAATCCATTTTTATTTTGAAACAAGCATAGTCTGCAATAGAATGCAAACTGACATGATTGGTAAAGACGAAGCACAATTTTAAAGGACTTTCATGGTTGCAGTGACTCTTCAGGGAGCACAGGTTCACTCTGCCTTGTGGGCTATTTTGTGAACATGGGGCAGCTGTAAGAGATTGTTCCAGGAGACACTTCCTGTGGTCTGGGATTTGGAGAAGGGAGGTGGGGGCTCAGAGAGGGTGGCAGGGGGGCTTGGTGTGCCAGGGCACATCCCACCCACCCCAGAGAAGAGGGAAGGAAAGGGAGGGGAAGTGTCTCCTCTTCATCTTAGGCCAGTGAGGGGGCTGTGAAGTGATCCACTCAGAGCTACGTATGTGCCCTGGACTGATTCCAAGGGGACCGTGGGAAGGCTGAAGGAGATGGGGGATGCCTGAGGCTGTGGAAAGGGAGCCAGCTGCCCTTTCACCAGCCTTGAACACAGGTAGGGTTTCCTGTGCACTAGATACCGTGCCTCTCAATGGGAGCTGTCCAGGGACCCAAGAGGACAGCCAGGAGGGAGGAAAGATGCCTAGCAGGTGTTCTAGATGCCCAGGGCCAAAGCAAAGAGGAAGCAGGCAGCTGGGAGTAAAGTGTTGCTCCTACCTCCACCCTCAGAAGAACTGCAATGGGATGTCCACGGCTGGAGGAGTCACGGCCGCCTCCTGTGTCCTGCACCAGCAGCAGACCGCGTCAGCTGCTCGCCGAAACCTGTGTCCGGTGTTCCTAGGCATCCAAGAGTTCCACAATCTCCTTGTGACTGGGGTGCGACTAAGTTCTGCTGATTGAATGTCAACAGCAAGAGACCCTGCCACGCTCTTTTCACCTCCTGCCGACGGGAGTAGAGAAGAACTTGTTAAAAAAGAAAATTCAGCCAAGTAAATTTGAAGATCTAATTGGCTTTATTTTAACGATTCCTGAATCGGGCGCCATCCCATCTAGAAGGGTGCTCTGAGGGATTGTACAAAGTGGAAAGTTTTTATAGGAAGAAGAGTGGGGCAAGGGAGCTATGAGCAAAAGAAAAGAAAGCAAGGGTTATTTTTAGGCCAGGACATCTTATTTTGGGGGGAAGGGAATGGTAAGAGTTTTATCAAGCAGATTTCCTCGTCTTCCTCTGGGGGA